GTGGGGGAGGTAGTGGGGGAGGGAGGTGATGAATGGCGGTAAGCAGCCCGACAGTTGTTATTGTATCTGGCGGTTAGAGCGGAAAAGGGGGAGCGGGGATAAGCGCAACTTCCCAGCCAGTCGACGGGTACGGCAGCAGGTCCTCGACGGGCACCTCTTATCGGCGTGCTCCCCATCGAATGAGCCTAGCAGCCTCCCCCGCGTTGAGAAGAGGCGCGAGCCCGAACTTCACCCCCCGCCGCCGGCATCCAGCGAGACACGTGAACGCGCCGCGCCCGTGCCTCCGTCGCGCACGGCCGCGCGCTGGCCTCCGGCCAAAGCAGGGCGAGAGCGGCGAGAGCGGCGAGAGCGAGAGGAGGAGCTCGCTGCTTGTTGCACCGCCGTGACCGCCGTACCCCCGGGCCTGGCCTAGCGTGGCCGCTTGTTGCTGGCGCTTAGGCGCCACTCTCTCGCGCTCTCTCTCTCTCTCTCCAGCTTGTTGCACCACCTGTCTTGAGCTTGCTTGAGAGAGAGGCCGGGCAGGAGGCAGGCCGCACCGAGCGGGACGCATGGCTCTAGGAGGACTCCAGCAGGGCTCCAGCACGGCTCCAAAAGGGCTTCAGCACGGCTCCCACACTCCGGCCCCCGCAATAACTCGCGCCGATTCATTCGCAGAGGGGCGGCGGTGCGCGGGGCGGCCGGCAACCCTCCCCCCGAGTCCCGGGGCCCGGAATACATAAATCGCACGAGTATAGCACGGGGGCGTGCAGAGAGGAGGGAAAATAGCCGAAGAGGCGCGCGCATCACCCTCACCCCCGCCAGCTCCAGCCCAGGCTTCAGCCAATCACATGCCCCCGCGGGCACGGAGCAGTCCGGGTCTCCAGTCCCTCCTCCTTCGCCGGGGCCCATCCCGCCACGTCAAGGATATCAGCGTCAGCCCCGGCCCCTCCGGCCCGGCCTCTGATCCGCGCAGTCAGACCTGCTCCCCCTGATCGCACAATCCAGTGACTGCATTATTGCCGACCCTCCCTCTCCACCGCCACCCACCCGCTTCGCGCGCCCACGCCGCGCCGGGTGGTGGTGGGCGGGGGGCCAGGGCCCATGATGCGTTTCTGATTGCGATTGATCATCATTTCAAACTCGCATCGAGTCCAGCCGGCGGTAGGCACGTAACGAAAAGGGTAGAGGGAGAGCAGACGAGGGCGCGCGGGAGCGAAAAGCAGGTCGAGAGGGCGGTCGGGGGGAGAGAGGCGGCGGCGGCGGTGGAATCGCATCGCACACACCCAGTTCATCAAGCGCAATCTGCCTGCCTCCTCTCGAGCGAGCACAGCCGCCGGACTGTCCCGGCCGCTCGCTGTGCTCCGCTGTGCTCGGCCCGTCGTGACGGGTGCGACGTCCGTGATGGAACGACCGGTCCGCCACCCCCCTGGGCCCCGCGCCCTCGCACCGCTTGCACCGCTCGCACCGCACTATCTGATGGGCGGGCCGCGGAGTTATTTGGGGCGTCTCATTAAGGGTGACTCGCCCCGCCCGCCCCTCCTCCACCTCCTCTCTTGCGCAACCAAAACAGTTTAGCATCGCTCCGCGTCGCGGAGCGCGCGTGCGTATGGTGGAAGCGAGGGGGTGCGCCATGTGCGAGCACACCAGCCCGCTCGCAGCAACACACGCGGCGGCGCCCGAACGAGAAGACGTGACCGAGGACGCAACCTGCCCGCAATGTTCTATAGGAAATTGGTTTACACCTAGTCGGGCGGCTCCACGTCGAGCGGGGGCGGGGGAGACGGCCCGACCCGCGCAGTCCAACCCCAGCCCCCGCGCGCAGCAGCCGACGCACGTCGTGGCGGAGCGGAGCAGCACCGCGAAGAAAAGCAGGCCGGCCAGGAGGGAGGCGCGGCAGCCCATCAACTTTACGGCCAGCAGCCCCAGCAGCACACCATTGTGGGCCCGGCGCGCCACGCCGCAAGATCCACACCTCCATCCGGCCGGGCGGCGCCAGCAGCAGCAGCAGCCCGTTTTAGCCGCGCGGGCCGCATAGCGAGCAGCAGAGCCCGTTGTGTGCCCCTCGCGGCCGACAGGACACCGGACATTCTGCAGGCGCGGCCACGGCGTGCACCTTGGCGATGGAGAGCTTGGCGCCCATCAAGTGGTGCGGCAGGGCGGGGCGGGGCAAGGCGGGGGTGTTGTTCCTCCATCTGGGAATAACTCCGAGAGCAGGCGAATTCCGTCGGGTATCCGAGCCCCGTGAAGAGGTCAGGCAGGCCACGGCTCTGATGATGGCGAGCTGGCCCTTCCCTGCCACGCCCCGAGGCGGCCTGGACCACTCTGCCAGGCGCCGGGATGGGATGGGATGAGGATGAGATCCCCTCCTCTTTACGCTCACGGCCTCGCACGCCGTAATGGGGCCGCATGCTCGTGCTTATGCTCGAGCTCGTGCTCATCTCCGTGCCGGCGCAACGTCCCCGCCCCAGCGCCGTGAGCGTGTATCGCAGAGGCGTGGCGGCGGCGCCATAGCGAGATCTCGACGGGACGCGGCGGCACCCCCGCGACGGAGCAGCAGCAGCCCTTGAAATATGCTGCGCTACCCCAGCACATAAAGCAGACTACTACCGCCAACTCCAGCAGCAAACACAAACACTGACTGGCGCGGGAAATGGACTCGCGCGCGAGCCTGACGCCCGCCAAACGGCCTCATCAAAGTCTCACTCGGCGAGCGCCTTACGACCCTTCACTTTTGATGAGCGCCCCCCACCCCTCTCTTCCTCTCTAGCTTTTCCCGCCAAGCGGAGGACGCCTCGTCCGACACATTTTTTATTTTTCTTAATTGGACTCGACATTTGTTTTCACCCCCCGTGAGGGGTACCGCGCTGGGTGGCGGGAGGGGTGAGGAGGTCTGCACGGCCCTTTCAGAAGGGGAGGAGCGCCCGAGGCGGTGGGTCGTGGCGTCAAATCAAAAGAAATGCCATTTAGGCCCCTCCATCGGCTCGGCCGGCTCGGCCCCTCGGGAAGGCGGCAGGAGGGCGACACTTTAGAAAAGTCAGGCGGCCGAAAGGCCAGGCCCGGCCGGGGCCGGCCAAAGGACAAGGTGACGCCGAGGCGGACCGCAACGCGCTAAGCGCCGCCAAGACCGAAGCACTTACCGTGGTTATTGGATAAACGGGATTGAGGATGGTGAAGAGGAGGACGTGGTTGGGCCTCTCGTGGTCGTTGCCCGACCTGAAAACAGAACAAAATCACAGCATGAGTGAGTGTGCATACACGAGCAAGCAGTCCAACAGCAGCACCTCACCATACACCATCAGAGTTGCCGCCTCTGTTCCAGCTCCAGCCGCCGCCCCCGTGCCGCCCCCGCTCGGGGCCCGGCTGCGTCCCCGCAGTGTCATGTGTCCGAGCGGGGCCCGCGGGGGGTTGGGGGCACAGGGCGTGCCCTAGAGCGTGCCCGACGGGCCGTGGAGAGGGGCGAAAGAGGGTCAACATTTGCGCACCCCTCTCCCTACCCCCCTTTTCCTACTCCTCCCTTTCCCATCTCCCGAGAGACTTAGAGGGCCTAAAGGGCTCGCAATGGATCAAGGTCTCCGCGAATCACCGCCGCCGCCGCTGCTACCCTCTTCCAGAGCCTCTTCCAGACCAGTTCCCGGCCCAGCCCAGCAGGGCGCAGCGCAGGAGGGACAGAGAGAAGTATGTGCCCAAAACGCACGAGGCCAGGAGGACGTGCCCAGACGGCAAAAACACTCCTTAAAGAAATTCAAGTGGACACGTCCCCCGAGAAAAAAGAAGCAAAATCTACCGTTCGAACCCATCACTTTCAATATCACAAATGATCTATTATTCGCTACAAACACACTGGGAGGGGTTGCCCCGGGCAGCGGTACGTGCCTCGCGATCGCGCGGAGGACGTGCCCAACCCCAGCCGGACCCTCTCTCTGGGGGGAGCACGTCCAGCGCGGCCCGATCGACGAGGGGATGGGAGGTCCGCGGCCGAGCCCAGGCCGAGCCCCAGTGCACACAAAGCCTGCGGCCCCCGCCGCAGCGATAGCGCACACGCGGGCCCGCCAGCGCCGCCAGCGCCGCGCAGCCGCGCACCAGTTCCGAAAGCACTTCCCCTGAAATAAATAAGTACGGCGGAGACAAAGGGGGCCGCGGCGGCAGCAGCGGGCGGGACGCGCCGCCCGACAGCGACACCTGTTATCCCCCTACGGGGCGTGGCGGGGCGGGGCGGTTGGCACGCGCGGACCAGAGGCGGGGCTAACTCCGCCGCCATCGCCATGCGATACTGTACGATACGAGCACTCGCTCCATCGCGTGGCGCCGCGCGCGAAACTCAATTCCGCCACACACGACACCGACACCGCGCGGCGTCAAATTGAGAGGGAGCCCTTTAAAAGACAACACCTGGAGGGGTGGGTCGAGTCGACGAACGCCCGCCGCCCCACCGCGCGCCCCGCCCCGCCCTTGGCACCGGCCGCCCCCCTGCCCACCTGCCTGCACAGGCCGCGCCACACCGTCAGAAATAGAACGGCGTCCAAAGCGATACCGGCGTGCGCGAGCGTGCGGGCATGTGCGTGCGTGCGCAAAGTGCAAGCAGGCGGGCCGGGCGGCCGGGCCGAGCCGATGACGAGACACATTTACAAACCCGCAGGGACTGACTAAACCCTTTCACATGACGCCCCCCTCCCCTATCAACCTCCTTCCCGTAATTGCGCAGGTCAGAAGCCACGCGGCGCCATGCGCGAGACAGACACCAGCAGCAGCACAACAGCACAGCAGCAGCACAGCAGCCACAACCCAATTTCACTCGCCATCAACACAAACCCTGGCCATTGTGTGAGTGTGGCGCGGCCCGGCGCCTGTCCCGAGCGTCCCGGCTGAGCCTGACAGATGACAAATAAGTCACAAAGTATCATGTGCCTCGCGGCGGCGCGGGGGGAAAGGGGGCGGGGGCGAGAAAGAAAAGCAGAGGGTGCCGCATGCAGACGCTCTTGGCAACGCGGCAAAAGCGTAGCGCGCGGCCGCCGCCGGCAACGTGCTGAGGTGACGCATCCGATGGGGACACCCTCCGCAGCCCCTGCTGGCAGCCCCCGACCCCGCCCCGCGGCTACCCGCCACCCCGCCCGGTGACAACGGGGACAACACGTAAAGCCCTGTAGGGCGCCGAATGGGGGACGGGACGCACGCTCACAAAACGTGTACCTACGGCCTTGGGAAAAAAGGGGGGCCACGTTAACTTGTCGCTTACCCACAAGGCACGCTTAACATCAACTAAAATGTTGTCGAGCACGTGTCGGTTTGGTGGTGGTGACGACACGACAAAGCCTTGATTCTCACGAGGGGGGCGTCAACTCACGCGAGGAATTTACTCCAAATCACCAAAATTCCAAGATTTTAAAGGTTTTCGCATACTTTTGACTTGATACTTCTATTTATATTTCGGGTCCAGTTTTATTTTTCACTCAGCACTCTGCAGGCAAAATATGTACATAACTACGACCTTAAAGATGGCCAGCTGGCTTGAACAACCCACCATCGTGGTGAAGGGGAGCGCGGGTGTACTACGCTATATTGCGTAGTTTGCGGCCCCACGTGTCTTTTAAACACTCCCCTCGCCTCTTTTTCTTCGAGCACTATGCAGTTTGTTTTAAAGATCATGACGCGACATCGTCGGGCTCGCGGCTCCAAGGAGGAGACCAGACCTAATACACCCTGGGCGGCATTATCGTACAGTCATGCCTCGTACTGGGAACTGCCGCCGCCCCGCCCCGCCGCCCCTCCCTGCGAGTGTCGTCAGCACGGCGCATCATCTCGGCCGGGCCCAGCTCGGCGCGGCGGGGCGGGGTGGCGTCTCCAGGCCGGGGGAGAGGGGCGGAGTGGTGGTGGTGGAGG